TGATCTTCCTCAGCATCCTGCACGTTAGCATGTTTCCCAAGTTTATAAGCTCCACTACATACAGTATGCTTTTTTGTTTGCTTAGGCCTAGCCATTTTACGAATGCATAAGCTACATTTGGGAGCTGCTCTTCTAGCTCCATCTCAGTTCTGTTGCATTTCTGCTGAAAATCCTGGGATGCTGAATACAACCCCGGTGGTAGTTAGAGGAAGGAACGTCTGCCAAAAGGAGTGTCAGGGTTCTGCAAACATTTGCTCTTCTTCCTCAAGGGTGTTTGCCAGTGCCTTGCTAACTCACCAAGCATTGGAAAATTGTGATTTCCCCCCAGGTTTTTTCATTTATAGTTAGTGGAAAATATTCTCTTCTCACATACTTGTTTAATTCTTTTTGAGCTGATTTGTGAGCAGAGAATTTTGTGTTATTTTTCTCTAATTATTTGCTGATTAGCAAATGCATCCAATCTGTTTCTGCTTTTCTCACTCCATGATTTCCAGAGTAATGAGCCTGTCTTAACTCCCTTCTTGAGCCTCTGCCTTAGAACAAGAGGAATTTTCCTGTGCTCTGCTCGGAAGAGTTCCCCTATTGTTTTGATCCCCTGCTCTTTCACTGAATGTACCTTTCTGAAAAGAGCAATAGCCTGATATTTTCTGCCACCTACATTCTTTTTGCAAAGCACCGCTGCAAGTAGTATTTGCCCTCATTTTTTATTTATCAGTTGTGTAGTTCATGGACTCCTTTAATGATGATCTGCTATGCCTTTAAACTCCAGAGTTTTTTCTCAGCTTAAAATGAATAAGTGTTCCATATGTTTTCAGGCTTAATTCATTCATGAAAATCGATGAGATACTCCTGGCCAAATCAAAAGCCCTCTCATTGAGTGTGGGTTAAGTGTGTGCCAAGAGTCAGGTACTGTCTATCAGCTGATCCGCAGTAACTTATTCCTTGGCAGTGTCTTCCTTTGTGTTTGAGCTCCTGCTTTCCTGGAAAAGCCTTTTCATATTGAAGCCAAGACTTTAAAATATCAAAAGAATCCATTTCAGATTTTATAGCAACATCCAGCACACGCAGAGGGCTCTTTCATAAATTGCTTGGTGATGAGTAGATAGTATTCAACAACCAGATCCTGTGTTGGTCATTGTAATGGCAAAATGTGATTTAGGAACCTTTGTGCATTAATTCACAAAGCTCTGGTAATTTCCTATGGTTAATTTGGTTTCTGTATATGAAAGCATAAAGGGAATATAAGATTTTAAAGCATTTTTTCAAAGCCATTATATATGATATTAGTTATGAGATATTTATTACCTACATGTGTTAGTGATGTACAGCACAATTTAAAATTCAGATTTGTGCATTCCTTTCTCAAGGGAGATTATTTATATTATAAATATCATAAGATGTTACTCAGTTTGTATTTTTTTTTCTCTGTATTTTGGTAAAAATGAGAAAGTCTGCTGCTATGTGACCATTTTGAAACATTGCATGTATGTTCTGTTTGAATGTACATTTTATTATGATAGTGTACTCATGGTTAATAGTATTGCTACTGTTTCATTTTTTACTTAAAAATGCAAACATGACTCTTCAAAATTTATTGGGATTTAATAAAATCCCAAATTAGGGATAGAAATATAGTATAAAAAATAACTATGAAACATAATATACTTCTGACAGCCTCACATTATTCAGCTGCCTCTGAAATAGCTTAGTTTGACAAATTCCACTCAAGTGTTTTCTTGGTAAGTGCTGTCTTGTTGTGATGGCAAGTAAACCATCAACTGAACCTAGCACTAATCATAAGGAAAGGGAGCTGGTTAACTGATGAGCACGTTGCCACTGCAGTTTTTAAAGACTAAACTCATGGCTGTTTCCTAGCATTTTTTTTAATGCAGAACAAAACAGGAAAAGAAAACTGTTGTTACACAGGTTGACATCTCAGATGTAGTCATCTATTCAATCATTCTACTGACCTAACTCCAGTGCAGTTCTAATGTAATTCTACTTCCTTTCTTTATAAAAGCAAACTTTATCTTAGATTTAATTTTCTGGAAAGAAAATTTATTTCTTTTTGTATCGGTTATAAAATGAAGTTGAACACTAGGGAATGTGTGTGCAAATAAGGAGAAATGAATGTATGCCAGCTGCTCCCTTTCATTTCTGATAAGATTTCTACAAATGATGGTTTTTTTTCTCTTTTTAATGCAAGAAAGTTAACATCTTGACCATAAGCCCTTTTTTGTTTCTAAGACATCTGAGCTTCCTGCAAACATTTGAAGCACCTCAGACTCCTGCACTGATTTCTGAACGGTCACTGTGCTCTCAGCAAGGTAGATCAGAAAAGACCCCTCTGTGCTGAGGGAATCTGGAGCACATTGAGGACCTGCTCCTGCCTTCTTTCTCACATCACTTTTAGAGCTGAAATGACTCCTCTGTTCTCTGAAAAGAAGTTGGATAATATCCTGTTTTAAAACCATGCTTCAACTTATCTGACAGATAATAATAGAAGATAATATGGCATGGATGTACGTCTTGGATTTTAAGCTTCCTTTCTTTCCCCCCATAATTCCTTCCTTTCCATGCTCGAGAGAAGACAGCAAAGCCACACTCATTTGAGAACGATGATGCAACTTGTGGCTCATGTTAAAAGCTGCTAGAGATCCTGCTCCCCTCTTTGTGTTGACCAGAGGCCTCAAACCTCCTTGCTGCATCTCTGCTGGTGAGCTCAGGCCAGAGCACGAGCTCGAGCGGCGCCCCACTCTTAACTCTGCAGCTTGGTTTTTAGCGTGCCCCGTCGCATGCCTTGGCCAGCATGTACCAGCACTCCCTGCGGCCGAGCTCAAGGCATGGATGAGGCAGCACAAGGGACCGTGCACAGCAGACACAGGGATGGAACTGCCTGGAGTGAGCGGGAAGGCTTAGCCGTGTGGTGGGCATGAGCGGGCCCGCTCCCCAGGCCAGGGCACCGCACGGGGCCCAGGGCTTTATTTATGGCCGTATGTGTAGGCACCTCGCCAGGTCCACAGCAACACAAAAGGGAAACAAGTTTTCTCAAGGAGAGCTCTGCTGAATGGGAACATTTATTTCACTCCTGCAGTCTCCTCAGGAGCCCTTCTGAGAGTAGTAGAGCTCACTAAAACTTAGGTCCTTTTTCTCCATCATGATCTTCAACCAGCAATTCCCCAGCACCAGTGCTGGAAATCAGTGCAGCTGATACAAACAAGAGCCCTTCCATAGTCACCCATCCTTGGGGTGTTCGGAAACTATTGCCTGTGCTGATAACTGGCCCGAATACTGTTTATCACTAACACAATGTTTGGAAAGTTATCTCGTATAGATTAAGAGGCCCATGGTGAACAGAAAACCTTTACTTCCTTACTAGGCAGAGTAGTAAGTTTACTATCTTTATAGTAAAAAACTTAGTGTGAGCAGTACAAAATTTTTCATTTAAATGGATCCCATGAGTGTGATATCTATGGGTGTGTGTGTGTGTGTGTGTGTGTGTGCCTGGAATGTGAACACGTTTTTCATACAGACATACTATTGTATTGTTTTTTTAAATTACTTACAGTACTGTCTTCCAACCATAGGCTTTGTGGTAAGATTTGTGTGGAGAGTGGAACTGTTTTAAAAATAGAGGGGTCTGTTTCAAAATAAAGCTAAATGGAAGGGATCATTTGAGCTCTCCTTTGCAAAATTGGAGTTTTCCAGTCAGTACTTACCAGTATTCAAGCTATTTGTTTCCTCATCGTTTATTTGGCTTGCCTTGCTCCAGCGCATGTTCCACTTCCTGCAGACCAGGTTTCAAATTCTAATTTTACCTTTCTGATGTGCTCAAATCAGCTGTCTAGGGTGTGCACAAAGATCAAAAACATTATTTGCTGAGGCAACTTGCGGTTGTCACCATTTGAGCATGCGGGTAGGACTGACTGCTTATAACACAGAACTGCAGGACAAAAGGCTGTGAAACCATCCTTGCCCCCATTGTGGAGCTCATTGACAGGGCGCTGACTGCCTCCTTCACAGAGCTGTGTTGTGGTCGGAAGTTTGTGCTTGCACGTCGTGCACGGTGTTTTTCCGGGCGGCGGTTCCCACAGGGTGGTCTGGGGAGCGCCTGCTGTCCGCAGTGCCCAGCAGGCTGCAGCCTTGTTTGCGGTTGCTGGTTTGATATCTGTATGTAGTGAAGAAAAAAGAGGGCAAAAGAAAGTCCGGGAACGGTGTTACCTGTCTGCATTAGTCATGCACTGAATGTTCAGTCCCACGTCGTGTTCGATATTAACCATTGGGAAGATATTCTGCCACTTCGGAAGAATTGTGTTTCTGCCCTTTTTTCCCCTCCTCCTTTCACTCTCCTCGTCACTTGTCTTTGCCTCGTTTTTCTTTTTGTTTTTAATCTTCCCTTTGGCCGCTTCCAGTTGTGCACTTGCCCTTGGCCCCCCAGTTGTTCTTCCCTTCCTCCGGTGCCATTGCTAGTGTAAGGAGAGGCAGAATTCCTGCGGGGAGGGGAGTTCTTCAGCTTGCAGCTCCAAACCTCCCCACTCACGGTCCTCTGTTCCTGCTGGGAGGGGAGTTCTTCAGCTTGCAGCTCCAAACTTCCCCTCTCACGGTCCTCTGAAATTAGCAGAGAAAAAGAAAAGGGGCACCTTTCAGAAACGGTGTCTCGGGCATCTGAAAGGCATGGGTGCCTGAACAAGTTACAGGATAGGCCAAGACACAGGTTTACTCAGCCACTAGCCAAGTAGACTGGAAGACTTCACTCTCTTAAAAATAAAAGGTTGTGAGCCTGGCATGCAAATTTTGGTTATTGAGACACCTTTTCTGACTTGGAGATGCATTTCTTTCAGTTTGCTTGATATAAGTAATAGCAGTTACCAGAGTAACTCCATTTTGAAAATAACTAGTTTTCTTGCTTTGTTTTGTTTTTTGTTAATGCCAAAGACTTCTTAACATTCAGGTGACTGATCTTTATTTAAATTCTGCTTTGGTGCTTTTTTTCACTTCAGGCTTCATGGCAGGCATACAGAGGAACCCCCAAATGTCACAGTATGGACCTCAGCAAAGTGGACCGTCCATGTCACCACACCCTTCACCTGGAGGCCAAGTCCACCCTGGAATCGGTAGTTTTCAGCAGAGTAATTCAAGTGGTACTTATGGGCCTCAGATGAGCCAGTATGGACCACAAGGTAAAAAAACAAACCATCATACTTGCTGTTAATCCATAGGATAATTTTATACATATATGTAAAGAATATGCGTAAGATATATGTGTGTAGGTAGGCAGGTATATGATTTCTTTTTTTAAAAGATGTCATTTGGAATTTGAAGTTGCACCTTGTGGAAGAAGCTTCATCTGTAATTAGCATCTTTGTCTGTATAAAAATAGCGTTCCTAAACTGGGCACGGAAATGACGACGGAGCTGCTGCGTTGCCAGGGCTGTTGTTTGGGAGCCCAGGCGAGTGTCGGCGCTGCGATAAGGCTGAGCTTGACCAAGCGTGGAGGGAGGGCCACAGCAGCGATCCCAAAATAGGATTTCTTTTCTGAGACGGAATCCCAAGGCCAATCCAAAATTGTGCAGTGGCAGTGAGGGTTAAAGTCTTCTAACGAGCATAATAATACAGCGGCTACTGGGGGAATATAATATTGAGCTCTGATGCATACGGTTTGTGAATTTTAACTGCCCCCTCAGACTGAGACAGTTGCTTTTTTTTTGTACGTGTTTGACAGAATTGTAGGAGGATTAAAACAAAAACGGAAGAAACAATTTCTGCCTCAGACATTCAATGCATGGAACCTTGAACTTGTCTATTGTTTTGGCTTTAATGGATAAGCTTTATAAAGTGTGCGTCTTTAGGGGTTTAATGAACTTCAAGTCAAAGCACAGAATGTATAAGGGACGGTATTTTATTCTGAGGCACTTTGAGAAGCTCGTCCATTTCAGCACTTCCTGCTATATTGCTTTTGTACTTAAAATCCTTAAAAAGGATTGTAGCTTGCTGTGGGAAATTCTGTAAGGGCTCGGTGGCGTGCCCATGCTAGCAAGCACAGTTATTTTAGTCTCCTCACTCTGAGAGCTAATTCTGTTGTTCATTTGAAGGGAGTCTTACTGCCCTATGCAATGTTCCTTTCATTTCATCCCTGGGTCGTGTTTGTTTTAGTGCTCTGAGCAAAGGACTACAAGCCAAATCTTCTAGCTTCTAATTTTGTCTCTGCCTTTTAACTCCATCTTTCAACTTAGGCAAGTAAATACATTTCTGTGCTTCACTTTCCTTACTGTAAAATGGGGATAGCCTTATAGCCATGTGCAAAGATTAATTACCTGACTGCAGTTGACTGCTGCTTTCCTTTTATTTGGAAAGCGTTTTGTGGCCATAAAAAACTGTCCAAGTGCTTATTTTCCTCTGCACAGAGAGCAACTAGCTTAACTGGTAAAATCCAGGGGATTTATGACGTGCTACAGTGACTCGCAGCTGTAGTGCTGCTGCTGAGATCCCGAACCATGGGAATAGTGGGTGTCAAGCGCAGTAAAACATTAGCCATCCACACTGATTGAATGGAAAGGTTTTTGTACTAAATCAATGCATTTAAGTAACATGCCGAATGCTACTTTCTTTTTTTGCTTGAGTTCAGCAGTTCTTCTCCTCTCTCTGTAGATGAAAGTGCCTGTGTAATGATTTTATGGGTCGTGGTCAGGAAGAAGCGGCTATTAAAAAGTGAACTTGAGGGGGCAGGAAGAAAATGAGCATCATTGTCATTAACAAGACATTTCAGAAGGGTCTGCTGAACGGTGTGATGGATGTAAAGCATGTTCTTCTGCCAGCTTTTAGAGGGGATTGGTGATCCCATCCACTGGTCCTTGTAAAAGCCAGGCCCTGCAGACTGAGCTCTAAGGGTGACGAGCAGAGGAGGGAATACTGCATTTTCTTCAGCCTAGTGTGATAAAATTGATAAAATGCTGGTGTGAATTTGGTCATCCCTGATGACTAACTATAATGTGACTGATACTTCAAAGTCATATGTTTATCTAGCTTTAACTTTTCAACAGTATTTTTCATTTTTAATGAAAGTGATCTGTAATGCATCTCGTTTACATACCCCCTTACAAAGCACAATCATATGCCAACACTAATGAATATGTAATGCTAACCTCATTTGCCTTTTATTGCCAAAATAACAAATACATTAAAAATTACCTGAGTTGCAAATGAGTTCTTAAATTATTAAACTAAAATGGTTCTTGAGGATCTCATTTGTTTTTCAGGTTTTGTTCACACAGGCCTTCCTTCACAATATTTTAAGTGTAGCCAGAGTTGAACAGGACTCGTATTTTTACACGTGTCAAAGCATTTTGTGATATTACACTTTTATTTTAAAAGTTGTCTTTCACTGTGTGCTCAGTTCTGAAAGCCACTGCTCAAGAAGTCGGGCTATTTCTGCAGTACAATTGCTTACCATAGTGAAGACTCCACCAGTAAGTTTGGGTTTGGAGGAAATAACTCCTAGTTCACAGAGGAAACTCGTTCATCATTTGTTGATGGTTGATCTGTTTTGCTTTCGTGTGTTTTCATAGCACTTAGATCTGTAATAAGAGTAAAAACTATTTGCTCAGGAAGTAGTTCCTGTGCTGGTACCTAGTGCAACACTGTGGAACCGTTTCCTACACAATTAAAGGATGGCTGTGGCTCCAGATGTCACGGTAAGCTTCTGTGTGCCTGTGGTATTACACAGGGGCATGCAGTGCACTGCATTATTTTTAATAAACACCTCTATTTTCCTCTCCCCACGATTAAAAAGAAGCACACTGAGAATGGAAGGTATGACCGAATGGAGCTGTTGTTTTGGTTTGTATTTGAGTAACATCTAGCTCAAGAGCTAATAAACTTCTAGTCGGGGACCAGAGAGCATGAGACTGCTGCCAAAGTGTCCCTTGAATGCCCTCTGGAGAACAGTCAGGTACTGCAGTCAGCTGGGTGTTTCAGGACTGTGGTAGAGAAAAACTTACTGCAGAGGTGTCCAAATGTATCCTGTTGCCATAACTTTAACCTACCGAATTTGGCAGTAAAACTCCTCTGCTTGGGTGTAACTAGAGGAACCACTGCTGAATGTGCTTGAACCCATATCCAAAGATTTCACAGTAAGTTAGTGAAATGCCCTTTTCTTTATCACTAATTATTATCTGTGCTGTGTAACCTTTAATGGACTAAAACTCATATCATAAGAATGCTTTAATATCTAGCTGCCACTGATTTCAGGAGCCTTGATTTTAATTAAAGTGGTAATCAGGAATGAGATGCCCTTAAGTGTCTTGACAGCCTGTACCTCAGGATCTGGTCACACATATGTAACAGTTTGTGGAATTAGTGCTTAAATATCAGCCCTAGCTACAGAGCTCCCTTAGGCAAAATAATTTCAGAGGATTATTTTTAAATAACCTGTATCTGTACAAGGAAAACTTGATGTTAAAGTGGACAAGTAAGCAATATTAAAATTGCTTGATTTGAGTTGAGATCCTATTTTTAATATGATGAATCTAACCTCCTTCCCTAAAGCAGGGAGGAAAAGTAACAGAAACTTCTGAATATTCCCTCTTCTTACATTGCCTAAAAATGGCAAGATATCAGAGCACTGTGTTCAGCAAACCTGGACAAAGTGGATCAAAGATTTAGCAGTAAGTAGGAACATCTGTCTTGGGCAGGTTGCTAGTATTTTTTTAAAAAAAAACATTATCTTTGTTAGTTTTTTTCTTTCCCAGTTCTGATTATCGTTTTGATTTTGCACATGCATTTGAGCCGCCCCGTGCGCGGGTGCAATTCTCCCTGCCCGGGGGAGCCGAGGTGCGAAGCCCCGGGGCCAGGGAGGGCAGGAGCTGCTCCGTGGGGCCGTGCAGCCGCTGCTGCCAGGCCCCTGCCCGCTGGAGAAGCGCGGGCCCTTGGACTTGGCTGCCTGACACATCCAGCTGATGGGGGCTGGCCCAGCATCTGCTGCCTTCATTGTGTTTAATGCTGCATCCATCTGTTTTCTGTCAAAGCCACTGCCAACAAATTACTAATCTATTAGAGAAACATGGAAATAAGATTGCACTCCTCATTCTTGGCAATTCCTCTTGTGTTTTGTTTGGCTTTTATTTTGCCTTTTTTGTGGTCTGGGAAAGGTATAAGAATAGCTAGTACTTGAGGTATTGAGGAAATGCTTAGGAAAAAAAAACATGGAAAAAACACTGTGACTTGTTTTCCTTTCTGAAAAGATACCACTTCCCTCGGCCCTTGGACTTGTATCCCTGGAGACAAATGACTGAGAACTTATTTTAACTGCAGCACATATTTTTATGGAGAAGATTCCACTGTTTTTGTGTGTGTTGTGCTTACACTTGACAAGCCAAAACATGAAAGAAGAGTTTGTTTTTGTCCCAATTCAAAATAGCATCAAAACAGTCATAGAATTTACCATTGATGTTTGCTCCTCCAAGTCTGCTGCTGAACTGCAGTTTGTAGCCCCTAAATGACAAAACAAATTGGCCTTATGTAAATTGGACTGACAGTAGCTCCCAGTGATTATGGATATCAGGGCTGCTAGTGTAAGGATGAATTTGCTCCACTGTGGACACAGTCCTGCTTATGGCATGTACATAAAATGCATTAACGGGCCGTGCGTTATGTTTCAGCGTACAAATACTCATCTTACTGCATTACATTTTTCTTGCAGAAAGCAATTGGAAAAATGGAGCAACACGAGTTCTGCATTACAAGTTTAACACTAAGCAGAGCAATCTGAAACTAATGAGCCTTTCAGTTTGTGGTCACATACGTTGGATCAAAGAGGTGTAGCTTGAACAGGTCTCAGCAACCAAAATATTCGTTAGGAGTGATTGCTCACTGAACAGAAAATAGGCAGCTGACAGCAGCTGTGGCTCGAGGAAGAGGGGAAATGACAGGGCACTGTGCATTGAGAATACAGCTGAACGCGGAGTCTTTCATCTCTGCTAAACAGTATACTGAGAAAAAAAAAAAAAAAGAAACATGCCTAGATAGTGGGTTTCTAAAGCAAGGGTGAAATGTTGTTCCATTTACTTGGAAAGCACAGGTCACACATGTTTTCACTGCAGAGAACTTGTAACAGAGTCAGTTACTGGGTAGGGAGGAGGGGAGAATTAGCCAAAGTGCCGCAGCAGGAGCGTATGAATTAATTATGTGTGCATTCAAATGATGAATGAATATATTTATTTTAAATATAAACAGGAGCTGCATACAACCATCTCCTCTGTCTGGTAGCATGAGGCCTGCAGCAGAGACATGCCTTATTTCCAAATTCAGAGGAAGATTCCAGTGGCGGCAGCCTTTAAATAAGCGTGGGAATATTTAAGAGGAGTCAGGAAATTCTGCTCTGTGGCATCCCGTAGGGAGGGAATGAGTTGCATATTCACTAAACTTGATCGAGATGGAAATAAAGACAAATCAAAATGGATGACCAAAGGAGTGTAATGTGATATGTTCCTTAAAATACTTCTCTATCACATCTTTTTGTTTTTCCTTTTTTTTTTCTTTATTCTTTTTCTTTTTTGCTTTCTTATGCTGTTTGGATTTGTTCCTGGAACACTGAACGCAGTACACTTCTTTTTTACACTTTTTTTCCCCCCCCCGTTATAAATATGATGAGAAAATCAGTACTGAAATTAGTTAAGCTGCCACGAACGATGCAGTTTGTTCCAGTGATAATGCAGATGGGGGTCAGCCAGGTTTTCATGCCATCCTAAGTAAGACACCTGGTTAAATTAACATCTTTGCAGTATTGCATTGTTTACTCTTTTAATACTAATTTTCCTAGAAGAGGGGGGCCACACTAATATACTAATATACTTTCTGCTGCCTTAGCCAGGCATCGAGCTTACAAGGAACATGGATAGAGTAGGAGGGAAGAGGGAATGCTCCTCAAGGCCCTGCAGTGCTTCTCACAGGTCACTGCCAAAGCCTCTCTGCTGGACATGGACAAAAGGGTTAGGAGCAAGGATCCGGTGAGAACAGCTTTTTGCTGAAATTGTGGAAAGATGGAAAATGAAAACATGAAATCACAAAAATAAGAGACTTTTGAGTTCCTCAGTCATCACTCATCTCTTTACTGCACAAGACATATTGATAACCATCTAAAGGTAGATTTTTTTTCAGTATTTGCTCTTATCCTGTGATATCTGATGGACAGAAAATGTTTGAGAGTATGTGACCATCAGGTTCCTAGGCTGGAAGGTTGGAAGGATGCTCAGGAGGTGTCAAGGCCAACCTTGTATGCAAAGAAGAGGAGAGTCAACCAGGCTGATCTCAGGGCTCTGTCCAGCTGGGTCTTGAAAACCTCCAGGTGGAACTGTACAACCTCTCTGGGCAGGTTACTCCGCCGATCAACTCTCTGCATGTGAAAAGGTTTTTCTGACTGGAGTCCCATGTGGTTCACATTAGTTGACCCTGTATGTTAAGGCCTGCAGCCGCTAACTTCCTAAAATGAAATACGTGCTCAAAAGTTTCACGTTTTTCTCTGTGTTTTTATTGTCATCTTCAGGAAACTATTCCAGACCACCGACATACAGCGGCGTGCCCAACGCGAGCTACAGCGGCCCGGGACCCGGCATGGGGATAAATGCCAACAGCCAGATGCACGGCCAGGGGCCCAGCCAGCCGTGTGGCACCATGCCGCTGGGACGGATGCCCTCGGCCGGGATGCAGAGCAGACCCTTCCCTGGCAACATGAGCAGCATGACCCCCAATTCTCCCGGCATGGCTCAGCAGGGAGGCCCTGGCATGGGCCCTCCCATGCCAACTGTGAACCGTAAGGCGCAGGAGGCGGCTGCTGCAGTGATGCAAGCTGCTGCAAACTCCGCTCAGAGCAGGTAGGCGTCCAGGTGAAAGCAAGTATGACTGGATTTTGGCTCGTTTCTGAAGTTTCCGTGCTGTGCAGCTGCACAGAGATGCGTTTATACATGTTCTGTTAATGTGCCTGTGTCTTTGGGAGGAAGTGACATGGGGAGAAAAGTTTTCTTTAAATATAAGAGGGAAGCATGCTACTGTATTTTTGAATAAACCTCTCAAAAATACATCTGTGACAGTGGAAATGATAGCAGCCTCTTCCAGTCTGGTTCCTAACACTGTGAGTCTTAGGAAAACCTACAGGGTTAAGGGGACATTTGGAGCCCAAAAAAAGCCCTCTACAGCTTAAAATTCATTAGTTGACTACATGTATTTTATCTGTGGTAGAGAAAGGGCCGGCAGCAACTTCCTATGCAGCTTGGCCCCACTGGGGAGTAGGGAGGCTTATAAAGTTGCCCATCTTCACTGCACGCACTGAGTGTGGCAGTGCTCAGGCAATTCTGTCCTCTGGGACTGCTCTGTTCCTGCGCTGGGGTGCAGGAAGGGCAAAAGCTGGAGAGGGAAGGCAGAAGGATAAAAGCAATCTGTAGTTATCTGGAGTAGATAACTGCCACCAATGCACCCGTAAGAGAAATGGGAAATGACAGGGCTGTGGAGGCCGGAGCTGCTGTGTGGCTTCTTGTCTCCCCTTCAGAGCAGCATAACTGCGTGCTGCCATCTGAGCGTGGATTTTGGCAAATGCGTTTTTCTGTCCATGGTTATTCTTGAGATGTGTAGGTACTTACAATGAAATCATATTTTCTGGGAAATTTTTCAGATGAAGTAATTTCCACATTTCACTGGACTCAAATAACTCCTGGTGTGTTTATTATCTTTTTCTGTTAAGAGAAGTTCCATTACATTTGAGAATTACACAAAGCTGGTTCCACTGTTCTGGTAAGCAAGTTTATGTGTGTGTGTGTATGTTAAGCATCGTGCATTTATTTATGCATATGCGTACACAGATGCACATATACAGGTATTTATCATTCGAGAGCAATTCCATGACACAGTGTAAAAACAAATAGGAAGCTAATTGTCCCCGTGTCTATTGCTTTCTTTTGCAGTTTTGGAAGACAGATGGCTTCTAGCAATAAACACTAGCAAAGTTTTAAGATAATAACGATAAATGTAGAGTCCTTCATGTTCTTGTTCTGTAAAGTAGGACCACAGTGCCTTAAAATAGACCCTATTTTTGCAGTGGTCTGTGAACCAGCAGCCTCTTGCTTGTTCTGGTTGTTTTAGCAGACGTGTCTAGTAGGATTTACAAAAGTCTGCTTCTGTCTGTCTGATTTAAGCTCTAAGCTTGTAGGTCAGGCAAGAAGAAATAAATGGGCAATCTCTGCAACTGTAGAAACACTTTCTTTATAATTGTGTAATGAAAGGAAAAGGGCATGTTTGGTCTTAACAAGAAGAGAAAGCTTGATTTGCAGTAAGTGGAGAGTATTTGGTTGTGATTCAACATAGCTTTTGGAATACTGTGTGGTATTTGATCAAAAACTAGATTAATTGATTGCCACTCTTACCTCACACCTTCCTCCCAAGTTGGTTTTGTCAGTCTGCTTTTGGTTTCTAGACTTGCCTGGGCAAAATGCACCATTTCAAAGCCTTTTCATCACATGTTGCCCATTCCCATGATCTAGCACCTGTAGAAGGACTCATCCAATCTCTGTTGGAAATACTGACAAAAGGACTATTTATAAACTGCAGTTGAGTGAAACCTGTCACTCCCCTCTGATGCCACAGGGCTACCAGCACAACACTTTTCTCTTCTGCAAGTCAGTGGTAATGGAGAAAGCATTAGAGCTTTTTGGCTAATCCTGCAAGTCCTCCATACTTGTAAATGGGAGGAATGTGCTTGACAGTGACTCCTATTTGTGATACAGAGCAAATCCAAAGAGGCTCTTCTTTTGTTCTGCTTTAGGCCACCATACATTAGGTCGCCTGCTTATCCCAGCCAGCCTGGGGCTGGCGGATGCCCCATGTTTCCTTCACAGCACCCCACCTATGGCAGCACTCAGGCTCCCTTGATGCACCAGCCTGACCAGTACGGGTAGGTAGCAACGTAAACTGGACTTGCTGTGCGACCTTGGCGTTTTTTTTTTTATTGATTATGAACATGCCATCTGGCTGCTGAAGGAATATAAAAGCCATATGAAAGATGCACAGATATTTGCATCATAGAGGGGATTTTAGGGTTTTTTGGGGGATTTGTTTTTTTTACTAATGCCACTATCACAATACAATAAAAAACTGCATGTCACTCACACAAGTTCTGCATGGCTTTTGGCACGGCTCTGTTTCCCTAATGCTTGAGAGGGAAATGAAGAACTTCATCACTAAGAAAGAATTAGATCCTCCCTCTCCCGCTCCCCCCTCCCAGTATGCAGACAGCATTTCTCTATCCTTGGTATCGGTTTTACCCAGGAACAGTGCTGTGCAACTTGGTTTTCTTGTCTTGTTCTTGTTATCATCATCATCATTATTACCCCGGCAGCAAGCTACTCCCACAAAGTGCAGTGCCTTTTTGGTAGGTGATTTATTGCAGAAGTGATGACAGGATTCATTAATGGGATTTTCAAACAAATTTATTACACTGAGAGTGTAATAAACACATGCGATTGAGAGTGCATGTGTTTGAAAAAATTCAGTTAATTCCTAGAAGGATTTTAGAAGCACCAAGTATCCAATCTGAAACATCAGCCTGAAATGCAGCTAGCGTTTTCTCATCAAAGTTCTTCATGCTGTGGTATCTCTTAAGTGCATCATAAATTACAGCACTGGAGGGAAATATGTGCACTGGCTCCCAGACTGTTGCTTGCTTACCACCAATTTCAAACTTCACCTGAGATTCCAGTTTCACAGACTTCCCTGCCATCATGTTATTTCTGTTATTACTTCCCTAGGAAATCTGTATTACCCAAATTACTGCTGCCTTTAGGGATATTAACAAGTATCAATTACCAGTTTTCTGTAGCTGCTTTTGTGTTTTTTTCTCTTTATCATCATCGTTCATATATGTGTACAAGAAAAGGTCAAAAGCAAAACAAAAAATCAGAAGTCTTCTGATTGTTCTGTTTAAAATGCAAAAAAAAAAAAAGTGAAATGGAAGAGAGTTGGCACTATGTTATCTTCTAAAACTGGAAAGGCGTCTACTGATACATGCCAAAGTGCATGGGTAATATTCAGTCGTCTTTGTATGTCTTGAGTTTAAGTTAGAGCTGTGGGGTTCAAAAAGTGTTGCATTTTTATAATCGTAAAACACACCCACGTTTGTAGAATTGAGAAGTACATAAAGTGATCGCATTAGAGTCATGGCAGTCTTGCTGCTTAAGTTGGTGTGATCCCCTTCAATGTCAACTCAGTAGCAAAGCATCGATAAGGGAGAGAAATTCATGTTCAGCTGCTGATCCACAGGATGTGTCCCTTCCCAGCTCCGGGGTCTCATTAGACATAGAAAGCTGGTTCGCCTCAGCTTTGCCAAGCCACATTAAGCAGCTGTGTAAAATGAATTTAAATGGCATGTGTCAGAATAAAATCACTTCCACCGGGGCAGAAAATCAATGTTAGTTAACCAGGGTTGGATGATCAAGATCTGAGTCTCAGCCAGTTGTACCTAGGTATCTGCCTCAGTGCAGAATATCACCCTTTTAATTAGAAAAGATAAAAACAAAAATAAAAGCTGTGGCTAGGGAAGATAGCACATGTACTTACACCATTTGAGTCAGCCTTTGACTTCACCTTGAGACCCGCTGTATGTTAAAGCTTAGAATAATTCCTGCAGCTACTGAACACTTTTCCAGTAAGGCCAAATCTTAGGGTGTGCTGGTCTGTCCCATGCTCACAGGCCAGTGTTTCCCCGATGAGGTCTAGCATGTCAGGCTAAAGGAAAGAGAGATCTTCATTTTTTAAGACCTCTTCATTATCCATCAGTAACTGTGATTTCAAATGGTCTATGATGCTTAATCTCGGTCTGGGTAGCAGAATCCCCTTAATCTCAGAAAGACAATGTAAAGTGACAGCAAAATAGGTTTTTCTGTTTTCTATCTGTCTTGGTCTCAACAAATCGCATGACTGATTAAAACTGTATGTTGAAGACCTTGTATGTCCATCAAACTCAAGGAAAGGCTTGCTAACTTCTATAAGCAGAAAAAAACAAGTGACATTTCAGTTACTAGAGATTGGAACTCAGTGGAGGTCTTTGAAAAGCAAAAAATTCCAAAAAATTAAGTTCTTCTATCAAATTACACTTTTTACAGCAATATTACATATATCTGTGTAGATATTTCTGTATGTACAACTGTAGATAATGGACACTGTAAGGCCCCAGTAAAAGCAAACAGTTCAAATGGCAGCATTTTCTCAGTTAATGAATATATTAAATAGCGGCAAATTTAGCCTGTGTTTTTTATTGTCATCCAATTTTGAGTTCCTCAGTCTATGGATGCCCAGCTTAACACTTTTGGGCACTGTTTGTCCAGTGTCTGTGAATTTTCCTGTTTCCTGTAATAGTAAGTGCCCTGAGATTTGATTGCTAGGTTGACACCCACCATAAGCAGGTGTTTTTGAAGCTAGTTGCTTGTCATCATTATGTCATCAACATGCCTTGTGCCAGTAGTGGATGACATTGCCTGTGTCTTCATAGCAGTTGAAGGTGTGACTTTTGCATGTGCAGACTTACTGACCTAGTTGCAAAATAGCCAGTTCACATAGTGTTACCAGTGTGGCCTTAGGAAGACTTAATTCAGAACTATCTGACTGTAAAATACACATCCAGCTAGACAGGTAATAAATGAGCCTCTTGCTGCTGCAACTACAGTTATCAATACTTGAACTAATTGCTATAAAATGAGTTTTGGTGTGCTGAGGAGCAATCCTGTCTTTGAATGGAGTGTCTTTGACCTCGGTGTACTCTACCTTAATATGCTTGGGAGTGCCTGTTGCAACTGTGTAAATTAAAGCAATTTTTTTATAGATTGAATGA